CCGTTTTGAAATCATTCCTCATTGCGTCATATGTATATCTGTCTTCTAAGCCAAAACATCCTATTTAAAGATCGGATTCCACAGAAGTCAAAAAAGAACGATGACTTTCGGCTGAGTTTTTTCTTGGTAAAGTATATGAAGCAGAGACTTCCCCCCTCAGAAAACTTTTGTTCAGGCAAAAGTTAGACATAATCTGTATGAAAAAATTTATTGTGGTAGCTCAAGAATGATATCATATAATGGCAGAAGACGTGAAAAAAGAAAGCTTGAACGCGCTCATATTAGAATTTGTATTAAGGTGTAGGCGAGCACCTAATATTCGTTCAAGCCTGATAAGTAAATCTATAGCTGTGTAAAGTATTAAATAAAAACTAGATAGTACATCTAGTTCATATAATTTAGACGAGAGTTTCAGGTCTAAGCTAATGAAATTGAACTTTAGGATTACTCAACTTGGTAAGAGAGAAGATAAAAGGTTAGAAAATCCCGAATTATCTAGATATATGATATTTAAAAGTCAATTAATCTACAAGTATTTAGCCATTGATGCTTAGGACAAACATATCAATTTAGAAATTCGAACACATTCTGCTGGGTTTTATCATTTAGTAACGTCATACAAAAATTTTAATACTTAATCTGTAGACATGCTGGTTGGCGATAAATGCAAGAAAGAGCTAACTGGCTAAGCAGTTTGATATAGATAGGAACGAGTTCAAAGTTAAAGCTGAAATAACTTAAAACAAAAAAGAGTTTTTTGATCAGCTTGATCTTTTCTCACATTTGTTTGAACGTCTTGAATTTTATTTAAAAGAAATTCAATTGAAAACCTAAATTTTAAAGCCCACATTTGAATTTCTTGATGGGTCTCCTCATTTTTATGATCATTGAGTTCGAAGCCAAGGGGATGTCTGGTCAAGATATTTATTCTACCGTTTTGGATTGTGAGAGCTAGAATCGTAGCCTTGAATCGTATAGTAGGTTTGCCTATTACTTTGTTCATTATCTTTTGTACTGTCTATTAAAAGTTCAATAATTCTTCCTCAAGTTGCCTAGCTAAGTTATAATATTATCAACTTTACCTTATCAACAATCAATAGCAAGCTTTTCTTGAAGTCAAAACATTTTAAAATTTTATTGTTAATGTTTTGAATCATCATATTCGACTCTTCTGATGCTTCTTGTTAAAAGACATAGATAAGTTAAAACTTGACAAAATATTAAAATGAATAAATAAGTACATATATAGGTAGTTACGTATAATATCTTATTCTGCTATAAGCATATACAACCTAAACTAAACTATAATTCATTTTGATAACTTTGTTGTCTATGACATAACACAAGTAGTAATAGCTGTAGCATACATTAGTGCTCGGTACAAAGATACTACATCCTATTGCATCTTGTGTATGTATGTGTGTAATATCGGTGGCAACAGCCATTTTCCCGATATTTTGCAATCAACGGGCATAATTAAAACCGCTTCTTCTGACCCGTACTATGCTGCTACAATAAATTCAACAGCATGTTAATACAACTATTTCTAATAACATTACGCTTGGCAAATCTCATTTAAGCATATTGCAGTTTTTACAAACAACTAAGCCGAAACAATAGTTAACAACAACTTAACTCGTATAAATACAATGCTAATAAGAAGTTAGCACTAAGTTGACAGCGAACAATAATAAAAGCGCCAGCCATCGTGAATAACTTTTTTGTGTCTAGTGTTGATTTTGTTTTAAAACACTCAAAAGTTTAAGTGAGAACTAATAGCGAGGTTGGCGGAGAATAGATGTGAAATGGCAGAACCTATTTATTCTAAATACTAGTTGTTCGCTTTTATGTGCACTTCTTTTGCTGATTTAGTATGCTTCCGTAATTTGAAAATCGCAGGCGCTTCACGGACGAATTTTTTTAGACAGTTTGAACGCATAACTGTATCGTATTGTACAATTCCAGCACAAGATTGGGATTGAAAGTTTTTAAGTGCCTCTGGTGGTTTTGAAAGGTACATTTTTATGTCTCACTTGTGGATTTTGTGATGGCGGAGAAGTTTAGTTCAGTCGGGAAAAAAGTGTTTCAAAAGTCATACATAGATATATTTAAGGTTTAACATTTAAATGTTACAGATAGATTTATTTGAATTCCTGAACGATTTAAATTACGTATAATATTTTATATAAGCTTCTTTTAAAGTTTAGTTAACTAATAATAACATTAGTGATGTAATGTCCGGTGTCAGCCTAGAGTCTTAAAGCAGCTGGGAAAGTTCGAACAAACATGGGCGTTTTTGAGACAAAGTTAACATTATTATCTATCGGATATCTAAAATTTGAATGATTAATCGTATTCATTTATCGAGATATATATGTCATAAGATTTTAATTTTAAAAAAAAGGACTTGATTTGGAGTATTGTTTACAATCAAGTTTTCCTAAACCTGCAAAATAAGTCGATAGTTACTAGGAAAGTTAAAAAAGCCAAATGCGAGTAAAGTACATTATATGTGACCATCTGTTGGTCGGATACTTTTTAAAACTCAAAATTAAGTATAGATTTTAACCTGTATACTAAATATCGATTATAAAATCTAAACTCGAGATATTCCGCTACGTGTTCCCCAAGATCGGTAAAGACATTATAATTATAATGTTTTCGTCAATACCTCTGTTACTCCTCATGGCGGTTAGATAAAATTCGCTTAAAAATATTATAAATTTGCTTTATTGTTACAGCTAACTTAGTCCTTACTAAACAACGTATTTGGGGCGAAAACAATTCTCACGTTTCTGAGTTAATAGAAAATCCGAGAAAAATATAAAAGTAAATAAACCTAACATTAAAAGTATTAATATATCGGTCCCATAATAATTGTCTTGTGAGAGGTTAAATATTCTTTACTTTCAACTCTTCCATTCTTGCTGAGGATTGGTCCATTAATATGCGCACTTCAAACGGGTTTGGTGTAATTGGTTAATGTTAGGCATTTGGTAGCGACCGGTTGTCTGACTAGGGGATGTTCCTTACAATTATTTTACTGCTGTATTTAAGCAAATGTGAGCATGGAAGGACGCACAAGACCTAAAATCTACAATGGCTAAGACAATATGTATCTAAATGTTACATATTGCTGAGAAATATATGCGTTTGTGTGAGTATGGGTCGTTTCGATGTGACACAAATTGGCTGAGATAAGTGGCTTCTAAACACTGAATGGGACAGTATGCTTAGATGATTTTGACACCTCACACTTTTTTAGAGAAATGAAGTTGGGGAATAGATCGTAAATTTGTGTGAACTCTGTTTCGTGCGGTCACTTGGGTAGCTTTGAGGTTTGAAGCCTTGCAAGGTGAATGAAGTATGAGAAGAAAATATTAGAAGCAACTACTATATATGTACCATGTGGATCTTGAAGTGATGCATAGAGAAATGTGTCGCCATTGGTCTCGGTGACCGGACGAACGCCGTTGTTCCACTGACTTCACAAGTAGAACAGAGCGCTGCAGCCTAATGCTTTATGGCGTGCGTGGGAGTGTGTGCAGGCTTACTATTCGTCACAATTTGCCCATCATTTCGACAGTTAAGGGTTGATTCCACCATTGCTGGCGACGCAGAGGAATATGCGTACGCATAGTGGCATATTGCCGGTGTGGGCGTACCGGTTTGGCGTAACCTGTGGTCGAGTGGAGTTTAGCGATGCCTCTGTTGCGAACTACTGC